ATCTATCTATCTATCTATCTATCTATCTATCTATCTATCTATCTATCTATCTATCTATCTGAAGAATGGTTGCAGGAACTGGGATATGGCTAGTCTAGTGAAGAGAAGGACCAGGGGAGACACAATAGCAGACTTCCAATATTTGAGGGGCTGCCCCAGAGAGGAAGGGATCAAGCTATTTTCCAAAGCACCCAAAGGCCAGACAAGGAATAATGGATGGAAAGTGAACAAGGAGAGATTCAACCTGGAAACAAGGAGAAATTTTCTGACAGTGAGAACAATCAAACCCTGGAACAGAAGTTGCCTTCGGAAGTTGTGGAAGCTTTCAAGAAGAGACTGGGCTGCTATTGGTCAGAAATAATGTAGGGTAGTCAAATAACAGATAACAGATACTCAGAGTTGGAAGGGACCTTATAGGTCATCTAGTCCAACCCTCTGCCCAAGCAGGAGACCCTACATTTCTGAGCAGGGGGTTGGACTAAATGACCCACAAGGTCCCTTCCAACGCTATTCATCTGTAATCTGTAATGTTGTTTATGTCTAGTGTCTATTGTTCACTGATTTGCCAGACTTCGAGAAATTTCCTGGCCTTTTTTGGACTTGGCCCGGTTTAGAATGGTCCCATTTTCCCCAATTGAAACTATGGTTAAGTCTGTCTAGACGTTGTGCAATTAAATAATTTTCATTCATGCCTTCCGACTGCCAGTTGATGTTCCTGGATTCAGCCAGCCTTCCGCCTGTTCGTCCTACATAGTGGTTGTCATTGCAGTCCTTACATTGTATGTTGTGGATAACTCCTTTTTTTCCCTTTCTCCTGGGGCTGCTGTGTCTTTTGGTCTGCTTAGGATAATTATGCTGTATGCATGCGTGCAAAAATCATCAATGACCATGCGGTTTGGATCCAACCCTTTCAACTCTTATTTACTGGCTGTAGTGCAATGTAACTGCTCTGGCTCTTAAGAGCACAACACAAAAGGAATTGCACCAATTTTATGTAAATAGGTTTGTTAAAATAATAATTTCTGGAGTAAATGTTTGCCATTTGCCTGAAAAGGCCTGTTGGATTCACACCATTCCAAAGGCGTTTTTTTTACACCTTTTAATCAATGAATGGGAAATAAGATGCTTCACTAGTTTTTTTGATCCCTGAATCTTGGCACTCTTTAACTCACCTGCAAAAGCACATTATAAATAGCACCTTCTGTTTCCAAGGTGTTCCCATTCTATCTCACTCTTCCTGTTTGACAAAATGCAAATTGCATTTTGCTTTGTTTACAGTGTTATTAAGATGAATAATCCCTTGCTCCGGGCTGTCAGTTTGGATTACAAATTTGTCTACTGCGTTTGACAATGGCCTTGTTTTTACTTCTGCGTATCTGTCATTTGAACTCCACCTTCTTTCTCTTTCTCCTTTTCCTCCTGACCACCTGGGAATGCTGGCTGTTATGGGGTTTATGCTCGAGCACGGGGTTAGACTAGAAGACCTCCAAAGTCGCTTCCAACTCGTTATTGTTATCCTGTTCTGTTTTTCTGTTATTTTACAGTGTTACTCTGCTGTTCTGTTATTCTGCTTTCTGTTATTCTGTGGTTATTGTTATTCTAATATTTTGATTTTCTATTGTTATCCTGTTCTATTCTTATCCTATTATTCTATTGTTATTATGCTATTATGTTATTCTATTGTGTCTTATCCTACTGTTATTCTGCTACTCTATTCTGTTGTTCTGTTATTCTGTTATTTAGTTGTTATTCTGTTAATGATGTTATTCTATTGTTATTCTGTTATTTGTTGTTCTGTTATTCTCGTATTCTTCAGTTATTGTTTTTTTATTCTGTTATTCTGCTATTCTCTGTTATTCTGTTATTCTTCTGTTATTCTATTATTGTTATTCTGATATTTTGTTATTCTATTGTTACTCTGTTACTCTATTATTGTGTTGTGTTATTCTGCTATTCCAGTCTTTACTCTATACTGTTATTCTATTATTTTATTCTATTATTGTGTTGTGTTATTCTGCTATTCCAGTCTTTACTCTATACTGTTATTCTATTATTTTATTCTATTATTGTGTTGTGTTATTCTGCTATTCCAGTTGTTACTCTATGCTGTCGTTGTGTTATTCTGCTATTTTATTCTGTTACTCTGTTATTGTGTTATTCTGCTTTTCTATTATTCTGTTCTGTTATTCTGTTCATGATGTTATTCTGTTGTTATTCTGTTATCTCTTGTTCTGTTATTCTCTTTTTCTTCTGTTATTCTTCTTATTCTGTTCTGTTATTCCGCTACTCTCTTATTCTGTTTTTAATTCTGTTATATTCTTCTGTTATTCTATTCTGTTGTTCTGCCATTCTTAGGGGAGCAAGCAATTGCTGAACAATTACCCCGTCTTCATCACTAGCAAACAGTGGGACGAGGCTGTCAACTCCTCCAAGAAAGACGGGCGGCGTCTCCTTCGGTACCTCATCAGATTTGTCTTCACAACCGATGAGCTTAAGTACTCGTGCGGCCTTGGGAAACGAAAAAGGTCAGTGCAGTCAGGAGACACTGGTCCTGAAAGACGCCCTCTGGATCCAGTGAAAGTAACATGTCTCAGAGGTACTGCATGTTTTCACTCAACGTCCACCGTGCACAATCTCATTTCACCACATTAGACATGCGGGAGAAAAGGGAGGGTCTTCTTTGGGGGGAAGTCCTGGAGCTTAGATGGAGCCACCCTTTCCAGAGAAAGCAATGGAGATGGCACCGCTCTTTGGATCCTTTCCTCCAAGCGGGTCTCAACCTGAGGGTTGAGGAAACCCTCAGGAGATCCACGATAGACGATGGGAATCTCCTTTCCCTCTAAAATTCAAGTCCAAAGAGGGTGATGTCTTCTCCTGGGTTGCTCTTACTAGATCCCAATGAGGTCTTCCTGGACCAGGGGTCGGCAACCCTTAAACACTCAAAGAGCCACGAAGGTTCTAACTGGAAGCCCCCTGTTTAATTCTGAAGCCAACCAGAAGTCCCGTTCCCCCACCATAGAGTCTCCTCCTAGCGCAGCGTTCTTTTTCCTCTGCTGACTGGAAGTCCGGTTCCCCCACCATAGAGTCTCCTCTTAGCGCAGCATCCTTTTTCCTCCACTTGTCATAACCAAAAGCCCTATCAATTGTGGAGCTGACCAGTAACAGGGAGCCGCAGCAGAGGGATGAAAGAGCCACATGTGGCTCCAGAGCCGCAGGTTGCCAACTCCTGCCCTGGACCAATCAGTGACACCTCACACACTCATTCCCCAATGAGCCTATTGCCCTCCACACATCCTAAGACCATGATGGCGAACCTATGGCATGCGTGCCACAGGTGGCACACAGAGCCATTTGTGCAGGCACGCAAGCCCCGGACAAACTTACCTGCACTGCGCATGTGCGCACCTCCCAGCTGATTTTCGGCCCATTTGAAGCCTTTTTCGGCCTCCTGGAGGCTCGAGGAAAGCCTCTGCAGTTTCAGGAGGCCGAAAAATGGGCCTTCCAGAAATGCCAGAAGTGCCGGAACCGGAAGTGATGAAACAGGCCCGTTTTTCAGCCTCCCAAGGCTGCAGAGGCTTCCCTCGAGCCTCTAGTAGGCCGAAAAAGGCCTCAAATGGGCCAAAAATCAGCTGGGAGGCACACACATGTGCAGTGCATGTAAGGGGGCAGGGGGAGTGTTATGCACGCATGCACAAGGGGGGCGGGTTGCATTGCATTGTGGGTGCCGGCATGCGCATATGCATGCTCTTTCGGCATACCACAACAAAAAGGTATCATCACTGTCCTAAGATCTGCCTCAGCCTACTAAAAGATTACACACCTCCTCTTGATGGCTTCCTAGACATGTCCATCTGGTTTTCTTGGCCATCGGTACCGACGTGGTTTGCTATTGTCTTCTATTTTCTTCCTTCTTCGTTTCTTCCGAAACTCTTCTATAGCGCTGGAGATCTCCTGTCTGGCTCCTGTCCAAGCTCAACCCTGTTTACCGCTATAGTACAAACAAGGTTGCTTAGTCTGCCAATCTTGTTAGTCAAAATAATGCATGAAGCATCCGTATAGACGAAGGTTTGAAAAGAACCGAACGCTATTATCACAAACTCAATAGTTATTCCTATTTCAGGAGGGGGAAAAAAGAAATCTCCTTGCTCAGTAATTTGCACTACAATAAATGCACAAAACTACTCATGATGCGCAGGGGCTCCTTTCTAAAACTGGACTTTTATTTATAGCCAGATATGATTGTTAAGAGGGCTTTGATAGAAATAGAAGAGCCCTTGATCCACATTTTCAAAGCTTCAATCTTAACACAGACCGCTGTGTTGGGTTAGATCCTTGTGCAATTCTGAACAAATGCACCTGGCTCTCCAGCGTGGGAAGCACGACATTGGTCCAACGTGAGATCAAGTCCAGTTGTGTGACAGGATGGATGTTCTCCAAATTTAAGCTTTCGGTTCAAAGAGAAATGAATTTGTCCTTGGAAGTTCTTCCACTTGGCTTCAGAATCAAACCATCTCTCCAAGACCATTCCTTCTGTTGAAGAGCTGAGGTTGTGTCCATGCTACAAACTTAGAAAAACACAACAATATGGGACAGAAAGGCAGCATTTAGCTATGTAGAAATGTTTTTTCTTTCTTTTTTAAATTCCTTTGCAAGAAGCTGGGCCGGCCCTGGAGCCATCCCCAAACCATTTTGGAGATTTCTAAGTTTCTTCAAGTAGCATCTTTTCTCCATTGTTCCTCCACACTCACACACATAAAAAACTCCACCAGGATAAATTGCACAAAATCCAATTGTGGAAGAAAACAAGAACATTTATGTTCTTTGATTGCTGAGATTTGTTTCTATGTTTAAACGTAAGATAAACAGTCATTCATATCTAAGTTTCCTAACCCCTTCTTGGCTCCTTGGCTGTAGATATCCTTCCACTTTCCATGCATTGCATCCCAACAAGTTTTCCTTCCAATGATCCATTTTGCTTGGCACTCCAGGCGGTTTGACCACCTTACAAAATCTGCTCCATTTTGGGATCTGGTTGGGGAACACTTTCCCCGCAGGGCTGACAATGAAAAATCAAACTTGTAAGGTGATATCTTGCCAGGTTATTGACCTGTTAAGAAGCTGCATGTCCATTGTCCATACTTCCGCCGCTGGCCCAGTTCACAAGACCATTTCTTCACAGAATGGGACAACTGGCCACAGCCAACGCCGTGTGGCCAAATTGCCACGGCCAACGTGCTGAAGGACAACTCAGCATGGCCAACTCACCATGGGACAACTTTAACAATTCCACTTAATTCTTTTCGATAAATAAAGAATTATTTTAATTCTTGCCATTCACCTTTTGTTCGGTCCCTTCTTTTGCACTGCTCCTTTCTTCCATGATTCTATTGCACTATTTTCTTTGGTATTAGTGTAACTCTTGTCCTGCAGCATGCTGTCTTGCAATGAGTTGTCTTGCAATGAGTTGTCCTGCAATGAGTTGACCATGGCAACTTGGCCATGACAAGTTAGCCACTGCAATTTGGCCATGGCAAGTTGGCCGCTGCAACTTGGCCATGACAAGTTGGCTGCTGCAATTTGGCCATGGCAAGTTGGACGCTGCAACTTGGCCATGACAAGTTGGCTGTGACTAGTTGGCCATGTTGAGTTGTCATAGACCCACAGCTTCAATACCACTGGAGCTCACCTGCTGATTTCTTCACAGAATTCATCCGGATGCATTGCACCTCTAACCCGGATTGGTGGATGCCTTCCGAAGAACAGATCAACAAGGTTTTCAGCGATGCGGTGGGACACGCCCGGCAAGGAAGGGCGGTGGGGACATTCCTGCACAACGGGAACATGTACTATGATGGGATTGACCAACACAGTTGCCATGAGGACCTCTTCGGTAGAGGTATCCACGATGGCTCCGGAGACTGACGGCAGGAAGGAACGGCAATCCAGACAAGGACGCCGGCGAAAGACAAGCGATTGGATGTTCGGTGTTCTGTTTTAATGTGAATTAAGGACCCAGAGCATGTTGAAAATTGAGTTTTGTGTCCAAGGGGGGTGCGTAAAAGTTGACTCCTGCAGCCAGATGGGCTGGTCTGCAGTTCCCATTGCCTTCCCTAGAGTGTGGTTGTGCTGTCATTGACGCCAGATGGTGAAAAGCCCGGTTTAAACGCTCATCTTGCAAGCAGAAAAGGGACTACAGGTAATCTTTGACTTACCATTACATTTAGTGACAACGAAGTTACAATGGCACTGGAAAAAAGCAACTTATGACCGTTTTTCACGCCTACGACCTTCGCAGCATCCCCATGGTCACGTAATCAGACCCTCGGCAAGTGACTCATCTTTACAACGATGGCAGTTCTCATACTTCTGACTGCAACCATCATAAATACGAGGCAGTTGCCCAAGCATTTGAATTTGGATTGCGGGATCCTGGGGAGAGGGGTGCTGTTGCAACCGTCATGTGAAAAACCGTCCTGAAGTCCCTTTTTTTCAGTGTGCCGATGGAACGTCGGAACACTCCCTAAGCGAATGGTTGTAAGTTGGCAGCAACCTGTAGGAACATTTCTCTGGAATTGAAGAATATCCAAAAGAGCAGCACAGGGTAGGGGAAAATCTGCTTTGTTTGGAGAGTTGCCAGTAATCCATATTTGTGTTTATGGCTTTTCTTGAGAAGGCGCTTAAATGATCCTCCTGTTCTAGTAGGTCTGCATTAATCAATCAAAGCCAGGTTAAGAGAAAGGATGCGTTGCGCTGCAGTTTTTCTCTCCTCGTTTCATCAGGTGTACTCATGATTTTGCTTTTAACCAACCTTTTGTCACGTCTGTCTGTCTGTCTGTCTGTCTTCCTTTCCTTTCCTTTCCTTTCCTTTCCTTTCCTTTCCTTTCCTTTCCTTTTTCCTTTCCTTTCCTTTCCTTTCCTTTCCTTTCCTTTCCTTTCCTTTCCTTTCCTTTTCTTCTTCTCTTCTCTTCTCTTTTCTTCTTTCTTCTTTCTTCTTTCTTCTTTCTTCTTTTCTTTTCTTTTCTTTTCTTTTCTTTTCTTTTCTTTTCTTTTCTTTCCTTTCCTTTCCTTTCCTTTCCTTTCCTTTCCTTCTTTCCTTTCCTTTCCTTTCCTTTCCTTTCCTTTCCTTTCCTTTCCTTTCCTTTCCTTCCTTCCTTCCTTCCTTCCTTCCTTCCTTTCAGAAGGGGTATTCAGCAGGTTCTGACCAGTTCTGGAGAACCGGTAGCAGAAATTTTGAGTAGTACGAAGAACTGGCAAATACCACCTCTGACTGGAGATTTTACAGTATCCTTCCCCTGCCACACCCACCAAACCACACCCACAGAACCGGTAGGAAAAGAATTTGAATCCCACCACTGCTTCCTTCCCTTCCCTTCCCTTCCCTTCCCTTCCCTTCCCTTCCTTCCTCTTTCCTTCCTCTTTCCTTTTTCTTTCTTTCCTCTCTGGACATACTGAGAACATGTCAGCTGAACAAAACTCCGTATCGGCAACATGAAAGGCATCCGGCCAGTAAACCCTTTGCTAGCTCCATTCAGTTGACCAGACTCCACCCGGCAAGGGATTATGGGGTCATTAAAAAGAGATTATGATTTAAAAAACATCTTTATGAATTAAAGCTAAGAGGCAGTCAAAATATCCACAAGGAAGGCCATTCTGAATATAACAGAAACATTAAACTGGGAGTCCCAAAGGTGCTTTTTTTCCCTTTCAAAAGGCAATTGGACTTCGTTTTTCCTTGAAGATATATCCTTTTTTCTATATATAAATTATATTTCTTTTAAGGGAGGTGTTTGGGGTTTTAAAAAAAAAAGAAATTGGAAGAGCATGATCTCAAACAGGAAGATAGTTTTGCGGTGCAAGCCTCTTGTTGAATAATATAATAACCCTCACTTCTAAAGTAACTGAAATGATATAAAGCCATGATGGCAAACCAGTCGCGCACGTGCCACAAGTGGCACACAGAGCCATTTGTGCTGGCACATGAGCTGCAGGCAAACTTACCTCACTGCGCCTGTGCATGCCTCGCAGCTGATTTTCGGCTGGTTTGAGGCCTTTTTCGGCCTCCCAGAGGCTTGAGGAAGGCTTCTGCAGGCCGAAAACTAGCCCCGTTTCATCACTTCCTGTTTTTCCGCAAATACTGGAAGTGACGAAACGGGGCTAGTTTTCGGCTTGCAGAAGCCTTCCTCAAGCCTCTGGGAGGCCGAAAAAGGCCTCAAA